ATACTGGTTAGCATTAAGATAAGTTGCCCTTGAATTATCACACCATAGACTAGGAGGTTTGGTAGTGGAGACATCAATCTCCTACAGCAAAAAATGAAACCCTAACAGTTTAGATGTAGCAAGAGCTATGCTACAATATTCACTTTTAGTGCCCAATCTAGAAACTGTGGGTTGTTTCTTGGAAGACCAACAAATCAAATTAGAGCCCATAAACACACAATAGCCCCTTGGGATTGTCCATCTTGTGGGCAACCTGCCCATTCTGCATCAGAATAAGCATGGAGACGAGAAGAATTAGATGGCTGAATTTGTAAACCGTAATGCATAATGTGTTTAAGGTAGCACGATATGTGTTTGACAGCAACCTAATGAACAGAAGCAGGCCTATAAAGAAAGTAGCACACTTTGTTTACAAAAAAGGCAATATCGGGCCTAGTGATTGTGAGATACTGTAATGCATCAACAATACTGTGAAAGTAGAAGGATCAGTAATGGATGAGGCTTGAAAACCAAATTCCAACAAGAAAGAAGCTAATTTATGGAACCAAGCATAATTAAGGAGCCTATTCGGGCAAACATGGGAAGGAAATTCCTTGCTTGAAAACCGAGAGGTTGTTGAATGAAACCATTTGGGTGTATCCCCTAGCATAAATAGCCTAGCAATAAAACCATAGGACTAAATATATCAACATAATTAAGTCCAACCCATTGAGTGTATCCCCTAGCAATAAGCCTCACTTTGTAGAATTGAATAAAACCATTTGGGTTTCATTTCAAACAGAAAACCCACTTACAGCCAATTAAGTTCATACCCAGTTGGCAAGGAACAAGAGTCCATGTATTATTGAATGCTAATGCATCTTCATCTTGCAATACTGGTCACTCAATTGGGATCTTAAAAGGCCAAAGTGTGTGATGTGGGTTCAATCATTTCAAGAGGATAAGTAGTAAAGATAAGTCTTGGGCTTGAAGATACCACTCTTCCCCTGTATTATCATTGGATGATCGTTTTGAAGCAAGGCAAGTGGAAGTGGTGGAGGAACTAGTAAGGATGAAGAACCGTACGTCACTAACAACCAATGTTTCAGCAAGTGCTTGACTAGTGGACAATGTAGAAGATGTTAGGGATGGAGGTGATGCACTAGTGTTAAGGGCACTAGTGGTGGATGCTGGTAATGCACTACTATCAATAGGTTGACAATGAACAATAGGAGGCAGACCAATGGCACACATAGTGGGAGATGTCTCAACAGTTGAAGATGTCATAGTGATTGAAGAAAATGGAAAGGAATCGTCATCAAATCTAACATGTAATCAGCCATGCACTTGTTACCTTTCTTTAGGTGTGAGAGTTCAAATACCAATTACGTCACCCTTGCATCGGATTTGGATGCCAAGAGTGTCCCATACACTATTGGATGAAGTATCATGCCCTATGACATGGGAAAGAAGTCAAGAACACCTTTCGACACCGAGGAAAGAATCCAACTTAACAAAAGTTGGTCCTGTTGTTCCCAAAATTGCAAAATCTGAATTGATAGTCACTTCAATGCCTCCTCTAACAAATTTGGGTGGACTAGAGATAGATCTATCAACATAACTTATGGCTTTGAATCCTTTCAAGTCTGGTATATATGAAGTGTGAATGGTAGAGGGTAGTTCAGATTCACAACGGAGGATTGGTTATTCATTGAGTTTGAAGCCTAGGATGATGTCGACATAGTGATAGTTCCTTTGTTTACGGTTCTGATACTATAAAACAAAAATTAGTTTTTTTTGTGAATCTTGTCGCACTCTAATGAGATTAAGAATTGTATATATTTATAAACAAAAACTGTACATGATAGGTGTAAGAGTTAGCTCTATTGGTTGTCCATAAACCCTAGCATGTTGTTATCTTGTGCGTGCTTGACATCTAACCATCCTTATCTCCATTGTTTGACAGGTAATATAACTGATGATAATGTTGATCTTTATTAGTAATTAACCTCGTTGCATACTTACATGGCCTGTTTGGTTTGAATAGGGGTCTGAAATCTAAATCAGGTTGGACTATCTTTAATTCTAATTGGAACCTCATTTCTATACCTAGTCACTTGAGGGAATGGTCATTCACTCCCCCTTTCTTGGCATGAAATCCCATTCCTATTGATTTTAATTTCCACTTGAATTTTGATTTGAACCAAACATTTTATGAAAATAAATTATTCCAATTCTAATTTTAAGGGATTTTGATTCTAATTATAATTCTGGCTGTGAACCAAACGGACTTCATCTCGTTGATTAATGATCTAGCTGATTTATTAAATCAGACAATTTAACAATGATTTGATTATTATCAAATACTTTTTTTTGGTATACCAAATATAATAGGAACCCATTACCACCCATCTTTGGAAATCCAAAGCTTGACTCATGTTGTCCATATGTAAAGCAAACTAAAAGAACAGAAATCTAAGCAAGAACACGAGTGCAAAAAGGGTGTTATGCTGATTCCACTTTTTGCTCACACACCGCACATCGAAATCATCGCATCTCCATGTTTTTATCTTTTTCTACTCGTTTACTACACACTAATAAGTGTATACGTACTTTTAAGATGATAAGTAGGAGTACAACTTAGACGAGTTAGGTCAAATTGAAGGCCAACTTAGGCCTAACCCTAAAGGTGCAAACCTCGGCCTCGGTCTTGGGTCTGAACCAACTCGAGGTTAAGTTCAAATTTATCAACCCAGGCCCAACCTGATCTCAATCCAACACAACTCAATTCGGGCTTAGGCTCAGGGTGGGCCAGGTTGGGTTAGTTAGGCTTGGGTAGTTTGGTCGGGTTTTAAAGAATTTATGTATATATTTTTATGTATTCATCTTTTAATGGGCTTTATGATCCAATTTAAAAGTATAATTAATTGAAAATATGTACAAATTTCATTTGCAAATGTATATTTACATTCTTTATACATATAAACACGTATATGTAATAAAAAAAAGATATTTAATAAAAATATAATACACATATGTATGTACTTTTTCGGGTGGGCTCAGGTTGGGTTGGGCTAGGCTTGGGTTAGGTTTGAGCTATCCGAGACTTCAACTCAAATCCAACCAAAGTTTATATAGGCATAAGTTGCCATGGACTTTACATAACGCGTTCGAGATCTCTGGGAGGATGTGAATACCGGTCCACCTCGTTTGAAGGTAGTTTTATGGAGACAGTTTTTGCATAAAGTGATAAAGCTTATTCGATTGCCTCTGAAGTGATCGGGGCAAGAGTCAACTTTATCGATTAAGCGATGTGGTCCTAGACGATTGGGAGATGATAACCAATAGGTAATGGAGGTTGGCAAACACATAATGTAATGCCAGTCGGGCCTTAGTCAGGTCAGCAGTGAGAGATCGTCAACCTGACCTTGTCAAGGTGTTCGTAGGTTGGCCTTGCTGAGGTAGTACCATGACAGTCAAGGCATGTGAGCTATGCCAATGGTGTATCCCAAGTTGTTGCCTAATTGACGCCATAATGTCATGCATCAGTTGTAGAGTGATACATGTTATGATGTCAATGGAAAGTCAAATCACCCTTCATCAAATATCAAATCATATTTGACCAATTTATAAATAATTTATAATATTTGAATTATTTTTTATTCTAAATAATTAATACTATTTAATATCCCGAATTTTATTCAATCTGATATAAGTCTAACGGATAAAAATTTTAGCAGAGCAAGATGGCTGGTACTATTATACTATGAATCCAAATTCCAAACACCATGGTTTATTGGTCGTAACAAGTGAGCCCATATCCAGTTCTTTTTGAATTGAGGTGTTGAACGGGCTTAACCTTGGGCCTGTTGGGTTCCCTAACCCAAAGTCGGCAAATGCATCATGCATCGTAAAGTAAAGTGTTTTTAGCAGATAAGGGCAATTTTTTGTCCTGAATAATTTTATAAAATAATAAAAACGAGGTAATTTTTTTTAAAATACCAAGGAAGGGCAATGATACTGTTTATCGCCTTCCTCTTCATCTGTATTAGGATTTGAAACCTCCGTGAAGGACGCATTAATGGAAGTTCTCACGGGAAATGGCGTTGTTCAACTTCTAGTATACCTATTGGAGAACGGCGGTTCTCGCGAGAAAATGGACGCACTAACGGCTCTTTATTCGCTGTGTTCGGTTGTTGCTACTCTCAGAGGAGAGGAAGAGCGATTCTCGCGGTTCTTACCGCCTCTTTATTCCCTGTATGCCATTTCTTGACACTGTATATCATCTCTCAATCACTGAGAGCGAGATTGAGAGAGTAACGCCTCTTTATCGCTACAATGGCTCCAACAGTGTATTTCCATTCTCTTTTTTATTTGGGTTTTTGAGTGCGAAAAACTGAGAGAGCAAAGAACAAAAGGCAACAATGAAGCAAGGCGATGAATAGTAGTATCATTGTCTTTCTTTAATATTTAAAAAAAAATTACTTTATTTTTGTTATTTTATAAAATTATTACCTTTTACAAAAAATTGCCCTTATATGCTAAAAATCCTTAAGTAAAAACCTGTCCTTTTTGACCTTTTCTTACACAGAGAGAGAGAGAGAGGGACGCACCGTGTGTCCGTTTGTACGCGAATAAAGCCAAGGTGTCAAAGGGCCAAAGGCCACGCGCTTTTGCTTTGCATTTTGGCCTTGTCTTAGAAAGCGTGCAAATTACGCCGGGTTGTCGGTCACCCAAATGCCACTAACCGAACCGAGAAACCGACCTTCGGCACACGTGTGAGTCATGACCGTAGAGTTTGTTTCTACGAATCGCACCGAAAAAGAAAAGAAAAACCGATTTCACAACGCCAAACCTACTAAATTCAATCTTCACCGTTCATATACACCGCCAAAAAAAATCAACGTAATTCCCGATGCCAAAAATTGGGATTCCTATTTCCTAACCCGGGGTTAGATGGGTCCAAGCAAAAGGTGTGGTTGGGAGAGTTGTTTCTACGAATATAAGTGGGGGAGCGAAAACATCGATCAAATCCCCTCTACTAACTTCTATCTCATCTCCATTTCGCAGCGCTTTCTTTTCCCCTCTCGCTTTGTCTCTGCCAAATTTCTTGCTCAGATTTCTCCGATTTAGGGTTTCTTCTTCAGTTGACTACACATTCGAAACCCTAATTCGGATAAGGTATGTGTTTCCTTCTGCCTTCTTTTCTGTTTTGCCTCTCTCTCCAGTTCTTAGTTTTTCATATCCTCTGGATTGTATGATTATGATCTGATTTTTTGACAACTTGGCATGATGCTTTTGATATTTTTTTTTGTTCTTCTTTTGTAAATTTGTAGTTTCGTTATTGACTTCTTCGTCTCTCTGATCTTTGTAATTGGGATTAGGGTTTCTTCTTCTTTTTTATTTTTCTGTTTCTCCGGTTGATTTGGTGGTAAGATTGGTTCATGGTTCTGAATTTTTTTTGCCCCTTCATTTTGGTCACGGGTCTCTGGATCTGATTTTTGTGTACCAGTTGTCTTTATCTGGCATGATCTCTCTCTCTCTCTCTCTCTGACGTTTTTTTCTCCGTGGTTGAATTTTGGGCCTTGATATGATTTAGCTTCCTTCAATGATGTATAGGCTTCCTTGAAAAAATTGTTACACAATACTCTATTGTGTAAATTTCTGGATTTGTTGAGTTTTCAGCTTTGGTCGTCTTTTGTATTTTTTTTTTTGTGGGGGGGGGGGGGGGGGGGGGGTGGTGTTTGCCCTCATTTATGTATCATGAATAAACAAATATGATCCATTCGATTCTCATGTTTTTTACTCATTGTTCTATATTGTTGCAAGGTTTCTTGAATGGTTATCCTAAATTGCTGTGATCTTCACTTTTTATTTCTCGATCGTTAGAATTGAATTGTCACTTTGGATCTATTAACGTTGTTAAATTCGGCATGTAGTTTAGCAAGTTGGTTCTTGACCTATTTTGTTCAGTTGTATAATGGGTCTTTGTTCTTCTGGGGTTTATGATCTTTTCTCTTTCTCTTTTTTTTTTCTGGTTTTCTTGTGCTGCAATTCGTGACACACTGAACCTTGATACGTAATTTTCTGTTGGTAGTCTTGTGATCTTTCTTAGGCATTTAGCTTCTTTTTCGTTTATGTATTTGAAAGTTAGTCAAACGGTGAGGAAACAATATTAGTTAAGAGGGAACTTGTCCCTTTGTGACTTTGTGTCTGTTCAACAAGAGATGACTTCTTCACAATTTTGCGATACCATGATATAAAGTAACTTTAGATTCCTTGAGAAGGTGCCGTCCATTAATCTAGAAGCTGGTAAAATTATGGAGTTCCATTCATCATTTTGACTAAGCTTTTTTCAGCATAATATTCTATAACGGAAGCTCTTCTCCATATTCAAGGGGTCTTTAATTGTTAAAGTTTTGACTAATGGCTATTTAATAGATTTTACCCAAATGTTTTGGATTTGTGTTTCCGTATTAATTTGTGTTGGGAACTCATGGGTCTACTTCCATTTGTGTTAAGCTCTGAGCTTTGTGATTAGAACCTAAAAGAAGCTCCATTTGTAGTCCTCCACTTTCAACAACCAAGGTTCATGTCTGAACTCGACATCCAGATTCCTACTACCTTCGGTATGTTGTCATCTGATGTCTGCTTTCAATGTATTTTTTGAAGTTGGGGATTTTAAATCCCTTCTAATTGGTGTTGGTGGTTTCTGGTATGGTGTGGTAGATCCCTTTGCAGAGGCAAATGCTGAGGACTCGGGCGCTGGGTCAAAGGAGTACGTGCATGTGCGTATACAGCAGAGAAATGGTCGGAAAAGCCTGACAACAGTGCAAGGTTTGAGGAAGGAATTCAGTTACAACAAAATACTTAAGGATCTGAAGAAGGAATTTTGCTGCAATGGTACTGTTGTCCAGGACCCAGAGCTAGGCCAAGTTATTCAACTTCAAGGTGATCAGCGGAAGAATGTTTCGACGTTCCTCGTTCAGGTAATGTGGATATCAACATCCCTCTTCCCCCAATGCTATCTTCATCTCCTTTATTTCTGACCCACCAGTTTCAGTTTTCATCTCTTTGCTGTTATTGTTTATTATTGGGAACTCTGACCCTTTATTACTTTGTAAACAGGCCAGAATTGTGAAGAAGGAACATATCAAGATTCATGGTTTTTGAACAGCAGAACACCAGTCCCTGCATGATCTTACCTTACGCATGTCAGCAGAGAACATCTTATTGGACTTTCTGAAACAATCTTACTACATACGTATGTTGTCTTCCTCTATAGTTTATTTTATGATATGATGACTAGGTACTCCTGTGGCTTTTAGATTTCTTGGTTCTGCATTCTGGTGCATGTCTTGTAATGTAGAACAAATATGGTGAATTACTCTTGGGCCGTAACTTTTATTCGGAATAAAAAGGAAACGCAGCTGTTGTTTTTCTCCTTTCCTCTGTCCTCACTTCAGTGAATGAATTGTGGATATCGATTGCTTAGAGCCTTAGACATTGCTTTCCTTCTGTTGATTCCTCCTTTCGAGCACTCCACTGGCGAACAAGTAACTTGGGAGAAAATTTTCAAGCCTTTAAATATGTTGGGGTAGGTGTCCATCAGTGCCATTTCTTTGAAGGGAGTGTCCATTCTCGTAAGGTCGGTACTCCATTGAGATGAATTGGTGCTGAATATGAAGTTTTCTATAATCCACAAAAAAAAATAAAAATTTAAGGCAAAATAGTCATTTTTAGCATATTGTATAAGTAAATAAATATATAAATAACAGACAAATACATACAAATGTGCTTGAAAATGGATTATTTTGTTCATGTTTTGTATTGGTCATGCCTCATTAATCCCTCGATCTCATAATTGATAATCTACACTGTTGATTATTTTTCACCGATAACATCCTTGAGCCGAGCTGAACATTTGGATATATATTGCATAAAACGATCCAAACCTATGTTAAATATATCAAAGAAGTCCTATAAATCTTAATTTTATGCTTTTCATGTTTATTTTATGGATTTTATCGTTATCCTTTATGCCCAAATCCTGCTTTTTGGTACATATGCCCAAATGCCTTGAAGCTTATGCCTTGCCCCTATATTTGATACTTTTAAAATCTTAAAAGAATATTATTGTCTTTAATTGGGTAGTTTTTTTAATTTGAATGACCTTGATTGAATATGAACGTATATATTTTTTTAATTTCATTGGGTTACTTGATTGAAGCAATTTCTTCGTAGATACTCTCTTAGGGAGTACAATTGTCATTGTTTCGTCAGCTGTTGATATTTCTATCTAGTTCACTGCCTTAGTTTTCTACTTCAAGTTACAAAATCATCAGCTTAATTGAACTTGATGACTTTGTTAATCGAGTTGAGATCAAGCCAGTCTAATGTATAATATATTATATATTATATTTTTATTTTATATAAAGTTTTAAAAATTGGATCAGACAAGAAACTGTTATAGGGACTGGTTCTTGATATATGAAACATTTAGTTATTACACTGTCTAGGTTAGCGGGTGGTTGATCAAATTAATGATTTTTAGTCAAAAGTGGTTTTAGGATGAAACAGAATTAGTTACTTTGACCGATTTCCGACTCAATTGGTCCATTTGGTTCAATTTTCAAAACCATGATTGATTATATTAATTTTTATAATTCTTAATTTTTATATGTATAGTTTTTTATTTTTATAAAATGTTTGGTTTATTGTCCAGTTCGAGCCGAATCAAACTCAAATTTACAAACTTTTGAATCTACTCTACGCCTAATCATTTTTTGTGAGCTGATAAATTATACATGTTTTGTACTATCTTTTTATCTCATTTTATATGAAAATCATTTTTATAAGAAACATCATTTTGGATGTTTTCTGTTGGGGG